GGAAACCCCGAAAGCCACGACCCCTAGGGAAGTCATGAACCAGAAGGAAGCCAAAGCAGTAGCAAACCGCATGCACTCCGCATGGATTTACGCAAACGTGGGCAGCCTTGAATGCAATAAAGAACTCAATCTTAGTGATATGGGTAATAGAGGCCTTAATGAAGACCTCAAGTTCTCGACCATACATTCGCTTTAGTACACTAAAACACCCAACATCAAGAGGCTGGGTAAGATGTGAGGAGTGTGCAGGGAGACAGAGCGTAATAATGTTGTTCTCCTTGCAGTACATATCAAACTGGGCAGATAGGTGGCTCTCATGGCCATCTAGGACAATCATCCGCCAGACCCCTTGTGTTCGTACACGTGTATGCTGATTAAAGTGTTTTATCCAGTCTAGACCTGTATCATTGTCGGTCCAGCCATTTGGTGAGGTCTTGATGGCCCAAGTAGGTGGAAGGCCGCACTCTGTGTACCAAGGCGCAAGGTGATGCTTGCCTTGTACAATCAAGTATGCAGGCACTACAAAGCCGTCTGCACTCACACATTCAATCGCTGTTGCCCATTCCCGATTACCAGACTGAAGCTGCTTTGCTCGGCCTTTTCGATCTGAGCTCGTAACAACCATATTCCCACAGATAACACCCATCATAAAGCCCGTCTCATCAAAGTTGTAGAAGTCAGCATCCTGGATGCTGCACTTCGCCTGCATGTTCTTTACCAGCTCAAACCACTTTGTTATACAATCAGGATCTTCGCAGAGGGCTCGCTGGAGGTCGTATGCACGAGAGAGACGCGTCTTAAGCTTTGGTTCATTGTGTACAAAGTGGTAGGGCCAGTTTTTTCCAACTGGGGGTTCGCGACGCGTCGCACGGAGGAGATTCGCTATATCTCGTACATCCTCAATTCGAGGTGGAAATCCTCGTGAATCTAGGTCAAGTACGTATCGTATGAGCTCCTCTTCCTCAATTGGGGTCAATGGACGTTGTTTGTCGCGTCTACCAGCTCGTGGTTGGCTTCCATGTATACGACGGGTAAGTGTTACATGTGGGACCTCATATAGCTGCGCAGCACGTCGGATGGACAGTTTGTGGGGTGATTTGGTAGCTTGAATGACTAGTAAAACTCGGCCTTCATTAGCTTTCTGAGGTATCTTTTTGTTGTGGTGTGGTGGAGTAATTGGGTTTGAGGTTGCGATGCTATCGGAAAGTGTTTCATTTGGTGGGATGTTCCGTTTGGTGGTAAACCACGTTAGAGGTTTTTTGCATAAGGTTTAGTTAACAGAGGAGGCAGGGGATTAAACACAAAGGCTTTCTAAGTAACATGTTACAGTATTGTAAAGAATACTATGTTAAGTTGAGCACGAAGCTCCTATCTAAGGGAATACTATCTACTTATATAGTGGCGTCGTGCCAAAGGGATATTAAGGATATTTTAGATAACAGATATCTATGATATCCTCTGCTATCCATCACGTAGGGTCATGGCGGTAAGCACTAGCCTTGTGACTCATAGGTGTAGGATATTGAGGATATTTTAGATAACAAATATCCATGATATCCTCTGCTATCCATTACGTGAGGTTTGTGGCTGTAAGCACTAGCCTTGTGACTTATACGTTACTAGAGCCTAGCCCTGCTAGCCCTATAACCATAACATCATGTTACCATAGCTATAACAGTTATATTTGCAAAGTTTGTACTTTAGCCATTCTATAGCTTCTTTTTCTATGTAGTTTGCTCTATGCGGTTCCTACTAGTATGGATATTCTAGTCGGCACCTCATTATACAGACTGTAACCTCCTAGTTTTTATGTAGTGCCTAGCCATCTTGTTAGTGGCTTTGGCATAGGAATTCCTTAATTGACTATTTCCTAGAGCATGGTTTCCTTAAAGGTTCTTACTGCTCCTAGTAGCTGTTCCTTAAAGAGAGTCTCACTTGCGCTTTCCTTAAACGCTTATAACCGATGCTTCTCTAGTGAACTCTTTGACTTCAGCTGCTACTAAGTCATTACTCTTGTCTTTTCCATTTGACATGTCAAATTCCTCAAGATCCTAAGCACTAATGCTCTAGGTCTCTTTTCCCTATAACATGGTGCATAGCTGTCCTCACGGTGCATTGTACCCGCCCTAACCTTGCTAAGTGGCATTGAGCTGTTTGCTATTCTTTCGTCTGCCGTTCCCTTTCTTTAGTTGCTTGCAATTTCGCGCCATGTGTCTAGGCTTGTTGTAGTTGAAGCAGAGCCGTTTCTTAAGCTGTTGCTCCTTGTTAGGATTGTGGGGTTTGCCATTAGGCTTGAAAGTAGCATCGAGTTCTATAGGTTAGGGCTAATGACTCTTTGTTTGTCTTTTTTCTAAGTCTAGTGTTGATTAGGTGGTCCCCCCTTCTCCTCAAGTTGCTGTTTGTAAGGTCACAGGGCACCCAGCTCACAGTAATAGCATATGAGAGTGCGAGAGCTAAACGGATGCTATCCTATAAGTCTACTACGAAGGATACAAAAAAGATGACGAGAGGAACCCCCGTTGGGTCAATCTCCTTAAGTACCCGAAACGGGTCCGACTCGGCTAACCTGCCTTTACCCTCACCACGTGACCGTGACTTGTCCGACTCAGATACCTTCCATCACTGAGGGAGAGGAACCCCCGTTGGGTCAATCTCCTCAAGTACCCGAAACAGGTCCGACTCAGCTAACCTGCCTTTACTCTTATCATGTGACCGTAACCTGCCCATCTCAGATCCTTTCCATCACTGAGGGACAGGCATCCTTACACTGTTTATAGTGTTGGTTGTCAATCTTCTAAGCCAATTTGACCATCTCCTTAAGGTCATCCAGTTTGTCAGACCCTGAGATTGCTGAGATTTTGTCCTTTACATGGTTTAGACCTATGTAGATAGCCTCATCTCCCTAGTTAGTAAGTGTTGTATGCTGTTGAAACTTAGCACTGTATGTAACTGCTAACCCTCTCTGCTTAAGAGCCTAGAGTGCCATGACTTCATTTCATCGTTCATTAATGTCTCTGAAGTTTGCCTTTAGTTGTTTAATGAATCCGCTCTAGGATACAAAAATCTCCTTCATTCCTTAGCTGGCTTAGGTGTTGCATTTTCCTTTAGTTGTTTAATGAATCCGCTCTAGGATACAAAAATCTCCTTCATTCCTTAGCTGGCTTAGGTGTTGCATTTTCCTTCTGATGTTCGATGGGTCATGTAGTTGGTGAGGTAATTAGAGATCCATTCTAAGGCTAGTCCTTATAAGAGGGCCATAGCCTATAGTGTTTCACTTCTTAGGTAAAGTGTTTAGCGTTAAACGCCATCTATAGCTCCATCTAGATTAGGAAACTTTTGAGCTTCTTGCGATCCCTATGAAAGGTATTTGCAATCTTAAGCTTGTCTAAGGGATGAGCCTGTATGGCTTTGATGGCTAGCTTCCACTTTGTTATGACATTCAATCTAGTATTGTTTCTAGCCATGTTGCTTTGTGTGTAAGCTAGTACCTCATAGAAGTGGTGCTTAAAGTGTAACGCTACTTCCTATCTAATAGGATACATAGAGGTTTCTTATGTAAGGTTGACTTGACAGAGGAGGCAGGGGATTAAACACAAAGGCTTTCTAAGTAACACGTTACAGTATTGTAAAGAATACTATATTGAGTTGAGCACGAAGCTTCTATCTAAGGGAATACTATCTACTTATATAGTAGCACCGTGCCTTATAGATACTATAGATAGTTGATAGATAGCTAGATAGTTTGGATAGTTGATAGATAGCTCAACTATCTAATATCCACTAGTTTCTGCAACTATCCACTAGCCTAGTCACGCTATAGCCTAGCCTTGTGACTCACAGGTTATGTTACTAGATATGTTACCACCTGCTACTAAGCTATAGACCTACAACTCTATAGCAAGGCCGTAGGGCACACTACACACCACACTCACAGTGGCTCATAACATCAGACCAACCGGTCCTGCATACACCCCCTTTTAGGAGAACCTCTAAGGCACCGCCCTCTACTAGCAAACCTAACACCATCCTAACTAGCGGGGAAGGCTCTTAGTCAACAGGCCTCATAGCCACGCAAACACGCAAGAACTGCTCTCTAAGGTCATACTCTATACATAAACCCATAGCTTAGCACGTCCCTCTACCCTCGGGGGGGTCTTAGGGCCGCGGGTACACCTGCGTCCCGCTAGACGTAAATAAATATCATCATCATCATCATCTGCAATCGATGGCTGATGTTGCCACTGTTTTGCCAGAATTCCCTAGAAACAATTGATATATTACGCTCTTAATACAGTGGTTGGCATCGTACGAATCCACTGATCTCTTCCATCGTCCTGCCTGTGACTTCGCCGACACAGAAATAGACGTATGATAACGAGACAAAGCAAAGGCCTGTGTAGACAAACCCAGTCTTTGGGCCGAGGTTTGCATTGTAGTACTGCGGCGGGTAGCTTGGTGTCTCGGTAAGATGAGTGAGATTCGACGTACCAAGTAAGGGAGAGTAAACACCGTTGCCTATACAATTATCTGCATGAAGTTAATATAGCTCCTAAGGGCTAAAAGTGGCAGAGTACTCACCTAGAAGCAACCAACAGAAATGGCGTATATCTTGTTACGATTTCGGCCCACTGCCATCTCAGAAGCCTATAAAATGTTATGATAAGTCCTTGTTTGAGACATTGATCACTTACTATCGTCCATCCTAGCCTATAATATTGTCAGTACGGTTAAACATATGATCTAGAATGATGACTTACGGGCCGCAATATCATGACATATAGGAGGTGGCCATTGCGAGTGGGGGGACAATCTTCCGCCCTGTCTCAAATGTGAAATACACACCAGCTTCGACAACTACAATTCTTTATGAAGTTATCATAATTATATTTGTAAATAATTGAGCGGTTCTATTTTATCTAAAAAGCTCCCATCAATGCCAGAGTAGCAATGGTATATGTATATCCAAACATTATCCTAAATCTACAATCCAACCCCTTCCATCACCTCGCCCCCTCCCCCACCACCCCTTCTTCCCCTCCATCATCTACCTTAACCTCCTTCTTACCTGCCGCCCTCTCCGCCCCCGTCTTCGCATTATTTCTCGTAACCAACCCCCCCGCCCAAATAAACACCGGCACCGCCCCCGCAAAACTCAATATCGCTAAGGACCACCCCATCGTCCCCCACCCACTCTTATTATCCACAAACCCCGCCCAAATCGGTCCCACTAGACATCCTCCAGCAAACGCCATAACGAACAGCCCATACGCCTGCGCGTACGCCCCCTTCGCCCCGAATATGCCTGGGCTGCGCACTTCCTTCGCCTCAACGATATACGTAATCTCCGCCATCAGCGGGGGCATAACCGCCGCCAGCGCGGTCCCCAAAAGCGCCAACAACGCGCACAGGAGCACCACCTGTCTCGTGGAATCATGATCCACAAATCTCAACAACACCAAACACGGAATCGCGCCCAAGAACCCGGATACAGCGAGCCATCGCGGACCGTACCGGTCGGCGATGGCGCCGAAGAGGGGCGCGAAGAAGCCGGGGATTAGGATGGGCAGGAAAATGAGACCGGCACCGGTGGGGGACCAGGAGAAGGTGCGGGCAACGAAGAGGGGGAGGACGGAGTCGAAGGCTGTGAGGATGGAGGCTTGGATTAGGCAGGCCCAGAGGGCGGCGAGGAGGCGGCGCGAGGAGAGGAGGGTGAGCATTGGATGGCGGGGGCGGGGTCCAGAGGAGGTCGTAACGGCTTCGTTGGTCGTAGAGGCGTCGGTGCTACTTGTTCCGCCAGGAACGTCCAGATCCTTCTCCCTCACCACCTTGGCCTGCTCATCCTCCCCCCTCACCTCTTCCGTCGTCGTTTCGCCCACACTCGCTTCCGGCTTGACACCCACCACATCATCCCACTGCGCCGCAATCTTCTTCTCAATCAACGCCAACCTCATTCCAATATCCAGCGCCAACAGTCCAAAACACACATAATAAACCGCATAGTACCCACACCGCTGGTACACCACCCCTCCAACCAACGGCGCAGCAATAATCCCCACCGACATCGAAATCCCAACATACCCCAGGAGCTGCCCAATATCCTTCTGCCCCACCGTATCAACCATCAACGCCATCCCAACCGTCCAGACCACACCCGCCGCGCACCCCTGCAGCAGCCGCCCAACAACCATCAGCGCCACGCTCCTCGCAAGACAAAGCAACACCGTCGCCCCTGTCAACGCCACGAGGCCAAACAGCAGCGGTAGTCTCCGACTACTCGTGCGATCCGCATACCACCCTGAAATCGGCGCCGACACAAGCAGCGCAGCGCCATAGACGGCAAGCAGCACGCTAACCCAGTGCTGGGCGTCCCCCTCGGGGACTCCAGCGCGCGCAGTCAGGGCGAAGGGGACGACGGGCACGATGACGCCGTAGAGGAACATGTCGCTGAAGACGGCGGCGCAGAGGGTGAGGATGATGAAGAGTTTTGAGGAGCGGAAGACGAGGAAGTGGGGGGGGGGGGAGGAGGCGTCGGCACGGTGGCCGGAGAGGAAGTTGCGGAGGCGGCCGAGGGACATGTTGGGTGGTGAGGGTGAAGTTGGTGGTGGTGATAGAGGTGACTAGGTGGTGATTGTCCCATGTGCTATATGGTGGATGGATATGGCGAGAGCTTGAGCAGATGCTAGGAGTCGGACTGGGTCACGTCCAGGTGCAAGAAGTCACGGTCGACAGCGTTTCAGCAGTGATTTACAGCTGTCGGTTTTACACTGCCTGTTTTGGCGGTGCCAAGCCAAGCTAGAGTAGTACTAGAATATATTAGTATTAGAGCAATTGAATCCTTGTTTAGTGCTTGTCGTATACCCTAATTAGGCAATATAAAAATTGCACCGAATCGATCGAGGCTCGTGATTTTGGTGATTTTGGTGATTTGGTGATTTGGTGATTTGCCTGGAGTGCGTGGGTACTTCTTTAAATCTAATATTTCACCAAAAATACTTTAGGCGGTTCGTAACTGCCGCCTAATTTGTATGGTGGACGATAAGCGGGGTAAGTACCTACCCTGGATTCTAGAAGTTAGAGATCGATTACCCCCTATTTGCCCACCACCTTTAGTATAACTTATCTTTACTACCTAGCTAGTACTTGGTGTTCCACCCACTCGCTTCGCTCGTAGGTGGCGACAGCAAGTTGTGCGTGCGACAGCAAGATGTGCGTACACCGCTATTTTGATATATAGAGAAAATAATAGTATTCTTCATAACGTAGTATCTACAATGCCTCAAAATAACGATCCTACTATGATTGCTCGCCTTAATGAGGCCCAACAGTTCTTCTTAAAACAACCAAGTACATATACAATTGCTTGGGTTGCAAATAAATTCAATGTCAACCGTGAGACACTCCGACGTCGTATTACGAGTACTACGTCTCCTCAATTACCCCACGGAGGTAGCAATCGAGTCTTATCTCAATCGCAAGAGACTGCGGTCTGTCAATTCATATACGACCAACTTGAGCGCGGGGTCCCTGCCAACCGATCTATGATACTACGGGCAGTTGCAGACTTACGACCTAATCGTACGATAAATACACATCGGAAGCAAGCACAAAAGAAAGAGGTGTTTGAGGAATTCTTTCTCACATATAACGCCCTTATTACAAAACATAACATTAAGCCATATAATTTATGGAATGTTGATGAGACAGGCTATATGATTGGGTGTTATAAGTCTACGGCTGTTATTGTACCAATCGGTGTAAAGCAGTGGACTGTTGATTAATCCTGAGAATCGGCTCTCTGTTACTGTAATTGAGGCAGTAAATGCAAGTGGTGCTGCACTTGCAGAAGCTATCATTATCCCTGGCAAACTTCATATGGATTCATGGTACAATGATGACCTTGAGCCAAATGCTCTCATTATTGTAAATGAGAGCGGGTATTCAAACGACGACATTGCAATCCAATACCTTATGCATTTTATCCAACTATCTGCAGAGCATATGGCACCAGATGATACTCGCCTCTTATTACTTGACGGCCATGACTCTCATAAAACAGAGCGCTTTCTTACATTAGCAGAAGAGCATAACATTGTTATTTGCTGCCTTCCTGCTCATACAACACATCTATTACAACCTCTTGATGTAGCAGTTTTTAAGCAGTGCAAACACTTTCATCAAAAGGCACTTGATCAAGCAGTACGTAGCTACGACTATGAGTATAAGCTACGTACGTTCCTTTCAGACCTTCCGCAAATCCGACGGCAATCTCTAACTGTCCGTACAATTGAATCTGGTTGGATAAATGCAGGACTATATCCATATAATCCTCCACTTGTAATTGACAAGATACAAGAGACTCGGAATCAAACACCTGATTATGAGCCATTTGCTTCATATAATATTATCTCAACACTGAAAACAACTATGCAAAGTGTGCAAGTGGTTGAACATTGGCAGAAGAGAGCAGAGGAAGTTTTCTCATCGCCTTCAAGAGAAGGGTTTCAATCATTTGCACGTGGAACTACAGTTGTTCTACACCGGGCAGAGCTCTATAAGACCGAGCTAGATATTATGACTCTACGTGCAGTAGAGCAGAAGGCAGCAAAGGCAAGGGCACGGAAATCACTACAGAAAGGAGGGCAGTTATATGCATCAGATGCATGGAAAATGTGGGAAGAGAAGGAAGCAAAGTTGCAAGCAAAAGTAGATGCAAGAGCAGCAAGGGAATCGGACCAAGTAGTAAAGCAGCTACAAGTGCAAGCACATAAAATCGAAATTGAAGAGCGTAAGGTTGAGAGGAAGCGGGTAGCAGAGCGGAAGAAGGAAGGGTTGAAATCAAAAGTGATCATTTTACGGTATAGTAAGGATCAAAGTGATAGTAGTAGCAATAGTGGCAGTAGCAATAGTGATAGTAGTTCTATTGATTTTATGTTTTAATTATATAGTTATATAGTTGCTATATAAGGCGTCTTTTTCTTCGTTTTATGTATCGCACATCTTGCTGTCGCACGCACAACTTGCTGTCTCCACCTACGATCGAAGCGAGTGGGTGGAACACCGAGTATATTGCGTGAAAATTGAGGTAGTTATAATAATATAGTCGAATGTCAGATACTGAGGAGCTAGAGTTGGTTACTGCTGCCATTGGTGCAGCAGTCTTGATTATTCGACGTAGTCATCGCCGCTAATACCATCAGTGGCTCTTACGATGTGTAACGGGGTGCCGCCGTTATAGTACATGTGGTATATAAAGCGTGTTATGCGTATTCCGGGCGCCGGAATACTGTAGTCTTTTTGGCTCAGTGGGATACACGGTGTCTACAGAGAACTCAACGCCCACAAGCCCGGATTACATACGAATATGAGAAGTTTGAATGGGATCTATGATCTTAGGGTAGTCAAACCCTAGGGCGGGTAGCACATAAGTTCCGGTAAGTAATTAAGAGATATAGGCAATCCCACGTCATTAAAGTCTGTCGATAGCCATGCTGGTGATCGGCCAAATAGATCAACGCAAGTTGACTATCGCCCTGGATATGCAAGGCGGGCTAAGACTACACAGAGAGCAGTCTCTAAGTCTGGCTTTACCCGGTCTCTCCACTCGATTTTGTAAAGCCGAAGGAGTGGCACAAGCCAGGTAATTTCCTCAATTGAAAAGCTAATGTGATATTAGAAGCTGTAACCCCCCCATCCCCCACTTTTTCCGTGCCAGCGGAGTTATAGAGATCACGTGACTTGAGTTGCTGGAATGGGCGGGAGTAGGCTGCGCACTGGGTACTCACAAGTCGAGTAGTAGAATTTTTACTCACCCAGCTGAGTTACTCACTCATGTCCCGAGTATTGTTGAATGAGGATTACTCACTTGCTGAGTACCTAGTATGGGTCTTGGCAACTCAGTTATATCACGTGTTTGATTAGCCATTACTTATGTTAAAAACGGGGCGCAACTTCATTGATCAAGACGCCATAACTCCATAACTCCATAACTCCATTCCCATATTGTTGATGTCCTATTCCACACTATACCCTTTGGCCTTTAGGTACCACGTTACCAGAAGGTTGCCAGAACTCATCTGACCTTCATTCCTGGGTGAGACACATTTCCATCAATTAAGCCCACAGCTCCATGATTAAACATCATATCCCGCAAACGCCAAACCAATATCATATCCTTTGCCTGAATTCACTCTCTTCGCATGAATAGTGAGAAGGTTTATCACTATAACTGTTAGTATGTCCCTGTCACTATACTTAAACATCATACTCTCAAATTCTTGAATGAGGAAGCATTCAGCAGCTTCCTGAAGAGCTAGGATAGCAGATTGCTGGAAGCGAAGATTGGACTTGAAGTCTTCTGCAATTTCCCTAACAAGACACTGGAATGGGAGCTTTGGGATAATTAGGCTAGTATCGAGTTGCTGTCTTCTGATATCGTGGAGAGCCTTGCTGAAGTAGAAGAGGTTATCCTGGACGCCCATGAGGCACTCCGCTTCGGGCTGGAAGAGAGCGGGAGGGAGGGAGAAGAAGGAGTCGTCGTCGGGGGTCGGGGAGGAGGTGAAGGAGGGGGGTAGGGAGGCAGGGCGGTGGACAAGCTCGTCGACCGATATGTGGAATTGGAAGTACTCCTTGATGAAATCCATGAACCGGGAGTCTTCGGGGTGTGTCTCGCGGATGAGCTTCTGGTAGGCTTGTAGGTGCACGCGGTGCTCTCCTGTCGTCTTGCCCTCTGTTAGGCTCTTGACGACGAAGCAGAGCATTTGACCGTAGCGAACGGAGAGGACGACGTTCTCTGTCGTGCCGGGGTTCTGCCGCTCGATGTCGAGGACAAACTCCTTGACGGCCTCTTCCTGGTGGAATAACGCGCGCTCGCAGAGGCTATTTTCTGTGACGTCCGGGTGCTTGGCCAGGATCGCGCGCCCGTATTCGCTTTGGTAGTCGAGGTTGCTACTCGATAGAGATAGGATCGAGTGCATCAGCCCGAGGTGCTTGACGGCCATCGGAAGCAGCATGTCCTTGAAGGCATTCTTCTGCGGGCCCTCAACCGTCAATACTGCGCTAAGACGGAACACGTAGTGCTCGAAGAAGATGCGGTCGCCGGCCGTGTCGACGCCGTGGATCACAGGTTGGAGTTGGATGTTGGGGATGCACACGCGGCTGAGCTGCGCGGTCGACTGGGCAAGCACGAAGGTCGAGATATCCTTTGACCAGACGGCTGTGCCTTCCTCTGCCTTCTCCTTGCCCGACTTCCAGATGGCCGGCTCTGGGTAGCCTTCGCACACCACGGCGTTCTTCTCGCAATTATTGCCTGTAGGGTGTTAGTTACTCTCAATAACCTAGGTGGCTACCAAAGCCACAGCGATTATCAGGGAACAACATACATCTCGGCTTCGCCTCGTCACACTTCTTCTTCCGTTTCCGGCATGTAATACACCCCGTCTTCGACCTCCCCTTCGTAATTCTATTGATCGACTCCGGCACAATCGGATGTTTCCGCGGCCTCCCCCTCGGCCTCTTCACTGCCACTGGCAACATCAATTCCATCGACCGCCGATGGTTCTCAATTAGCGCCAACGCTGCATCGTCCCCTGGCGACTCGACCTTCGGCTCAATTAACTCGTCAAACTCCTCCTCGGGTATAACATGTCCACACGCATCCACCTTTCTCTTCACCCCCCTCTGCTCCTCCCACGAGCACGACGGCGTCGCAGAACCTACCTCCTCCTCCTGCCTATTATCCGCCACCCTCCCCACTGCACTTGTCGTAATCACCCCCATATTCACCACCCCCAGCATCCTCCTCCTCTGCCCAATCGTCCTTCTAATCCGCGATATATGCGCGATTAGAGAGTTCTGGTAATCCTCTGGTAATCCTCTGGTAATCCTCTTACCAGACTTTGCGCGGCGCATGGCCTTCTGAGCATGATTGTTGCTAGCTTGAGATGAGCGAACTGGAGCTTTTCTTGCTGTGCCCACGGCCTTTTCCTTTCCCTTTCCACCAAGCCCAGAGCCAGCCCGTAATCCAAGTGGCATCCTTGGTGCTGTGCCACCAGTTGATCTCCTAGCAGTTTGCTTGGTACGAGCCATTTGCTAATATCAAGGTGAGTTAGTGAAGTAAACACAAGACAAAGAAGTAGATCAAAAGATATGTGTACTTACAGTGAGTTTGTAGGAAGAATATTGCAGAAGAAGAGTATAGAAAAGAGGTAGAGGTTGAAAGGTATGTGTTTCATATGAAGGTGCGCGTTGTGGTGTTGCTTTTGGAACAGTAATTCTTTGTAGGTGAATATTCTTTCACGAATATTTTTGTTTGCAACTTTAAAATAACCACGACCTTAGAACGACCTTCCTTGGTTACTCTCTGATCTACACATTCTTCTTCCCTTTTGCGCCTTCACCTCTTCACTAGGACTTCAAGTAAGTTTATTATCTTGATTCTATAGCCAGAACTTCTGGCGATCTTCTGCTAATCACGTGTTTAGTATGGCGAAACGCAAGGCACCTGAAGAACTCTCCACTAATGTGAATACTATCAAAGCTCGCAACCGCATCTCCAACCTTACTGAAGATGAGAAGGCTGTTCACTTAGCACTCAAGGCTGACCATGCTGATCTGAGCTACTACTTAAAGAAGTTATATAAGTCTGCAAAGTATATCGCTGCCTCTACTGAAGACAAGACACGTCTACAGAATGAATTGAAGGTTGAGCGTATTCGTGTTCAGTAAGTTCCTTCTGGTAATCTCTGGTAGCCTCAATCTAACTATAAACAGGACTGAGAAGGGTACCCATTGTAAGGACACAGGGCACCCAGCTCACAGTAATAGCATATGAGAGTGCGAGTCGGAGGCTAAACGGATGCTATCCTATAGGTCTACTACGAAGGATACAAAAAAGATGAAGGGGGAACCCCGTGAGTCATTTCCCTCAAGTACCCGAAACCCCTCCAACTCGGTTAGCCCGCCCAAATGATCACATGTGACCTGCAGCTACTCAGAGTCTGCTCCTTGTCTGCTCCTTAGAGTGAGAGACGAGAGGGCATCCTTACACCCATGCATCTTGCATTGCGAATCAGAAAGTCAAGAATATTAGCGCCTCTTCTTCTTCTCCACAAGCACCACCATCTACTCCGCCACAACTTCTGTCTGAGCTTGCTGCATTTGAGGGTATCTCAAGTATCCCAATCGATGACAATCATAACAGCGAATGGGAGGATACTGAGGTTGAAGACGATTTAGAGTTGGAGCTTATGTTACGGCGCGACGATATTTTAAATCACGAGGCTGTTCTACCAGATGAGCTTTCCGATGAAGAGATCGCTAGCATCCAGGCTCTCTTAACTCAAGCGCGCATTGATGTATGCTACCTCATAGTCTGGTAATCTTCTGGTAATACTAATAGTTGATAGGCCCATGAAGAGTCCAATTTCCGCAAGTGGCAACATTTCTGGGATAGATGTATCCGCTCATATACGAGAAAGGCTGGAAAGCTGAGAAAGAAGCCTGAGCGTCTCTTTGAGTATATGCCGTGGATTGATGTAGAGGAAGGGTACGTCTCTGATCATCCTAGCAATCTTCTGGCAATACTAATTGTTTATTATAGCACTTTTCATGAGGTTATCCCACCACATAAATATTTCTGTTTGTACGAGCAGGCAGTTTGGACAAACTTTACAGCTTGGAAGTTTGGAAAGTGGGCCCAATTACCAGGACCTGCGCAGTGGTACCCAAAGTCTTACAATCTTGTCGACAATGGATGGTTGCAAGTCTCCACTCATAGTTCTAGCTTCAAAGAGGCATTCTTACTTGTCTACTCTAAGAAGTTTGATAAGGAAAAGTGGGCTAAGGTATCAGGAGAACTTGAGTTTGCTAAAGTTATAGCGCTGGAGTACCTGGTTTTCCAACGCGAATAGGGGCTATAGAGAAATTTAAGTACTTCATCGTAGCCAGACTTCTGGTAACCTTCTGATAATCGAGCAATTTGCCAAATGTCATCTCAATACTCAGAGTTGTTTGATTCTGACAATCCTATTGCAGATGTATTCTCAGACTCTTTTCCATCTTCTCAACGACTATCCTCATTAAATCAAGTCCCTGCAGGCCTTGAATATATTGGCAAATTAAACCAATTCATCAAATGGACTAAGGATACACACGATGTATTCATTGAGTGGTGGAAGCTATCACAATGGTATGAACAACACTCAGATCATACTACAAAACTCCTTACGAAGATTGAATGGGACTCAACGAACCGGAGTTCTCAATACTGGAGAAGTTATCACCAAGGAGCAGACCGGCTTTCTGGAGAACCATGTGTCATTTGTAATTATTGTTTGAAGGCCCTTACGCATCCTGCAATCAAGTCTGCTGGCCCAAAGTCTATGGCAACACATCTTGCATCGGACATTTGCAAAAAGAAGTCACGGATGGGTAAGGATAGTCTCTATCAAATGCGAATCAATCAAATGCGACCTCAACAAGTAAGGATTACCAGATTATTACCAGAATCATGTAGGTTAATATCTATAATAGGGTCATATTCTCACACAAGAGACATTTTATGAACAAGTTCTATACACAGTTATCTCGACTCATAGCTCGTTCCGCTCAGTCGAGGATACTGAATGGAAAAGGCTTGCTATCTTACAGAATCCTCACTATCCACTACCCTCAGCAACAACTATTCGAAACCTCTTAACAACAAAGCTCACACAAATCGAAGAAGAGATGCTACAAGATGTTGTTCCTGGTTCAAAGATTGCATTATCGCTCGACTGTTGGTCAAGTGTTACTCGACTTTCATTTATGGGTGTTATTGCATCGTTTATCGACTGTCATTGGAAAATGCAAGAGGTCTTGATTGGCTTTGAACCTATATATACAGAGCATACTGGTGCTGAGTTATGTGGAATACTTGAAAAAGTTATCACAAGGCAGCATTTAGAAGGACGAATTATATCCATTACGACTGATAATGCGTCAAACAACACTTCGATGATGAGAGATGTGGAAATAATGCTTGATAGTATTGCGGACAACGAGCATTTTATTGGAGGAAAGGTACAACACATACCCTGCCTAGCTCATGTTATTCAACTTGCCCTTAGTGCTCTCCTTGGCCGAATCCAGATTACGCCAACAAATCAAGAGATCTTAATGAACTGGGAAGAAGAGAACCAGATGAAGGGCCTTGCAAAGTTACAAAAAGACAAGGGTATCGGATTTACACTTGGAAAGGTATATATTCTCTTGTTAGTTCTGGTAATCTTCTGGTAGCTTTTTCTAATATCTCATAGCTCCGGAAGCTCACTATCTTTGTTAATTCAAGTCATACTCGAAGGAACAGGTTTATGACTTTGCAAAAGGCAAACATGAACTGGGGTCAACCATCTCAGAGACTACTTCAACTTATTCAAGATGTATCAACTCGATGGGATTTGACATGCCATATGCTTCTGCGAGCACAGCAACTCAAGTCAACAATCAATCAATATACCCGAGGCGATCATGGTGCTCATATGTTTAGACTTGGCGAGGTAGAATGGAAGCACATCAAATACATCATTGATCTTACAAGACCATTCAACTTCTTTACAACAAACATTGGATCGTCAGCTGGACCTACTGTCTGCTATACACTCGGAGTATATCAAAAACTCTTATCAACGCTTGAAGGAACTCGGCACCGGCTACGGCATAAGACATATCCATGGGTAGCAAAGATGACTTTAGCAATCGATGCTGCAGAGAAGAAGATTAAGAAGTATTATAACAAGCTATACACAAATACTGGATCTATCTTCGCATTTGCTAGTATCTTATATCCTAGTGTGAAGCTCTCACACTTTAACAAAAAGGTTTGCAAGCTTGACTTTTCAATACGAAATTGGGAGACAGAGTTTGAACAACAGTTTAAGACTCTTTATAAAGAGCAGTACTCTACAGTGCGAGTTGCGAGTCAATTAGGATTACGAGATGCAGATATGGATCCATTAGCCTTAGTATTGCAGCAAAGTCAGACATTAAATGGGACTCGGGGCCAGAGAGAGGAATATGTGAATGAGGCTGATCTCTATCTTGATGCTCGTAAGTTCCTGGTAATCTTCTAGTAATCTTATTCTAACTTGTATAGCACATGTGTACACAAAGATATTGCTATTTTGGCAACAAAAGGAAGAGCAATTTCCTGGTCTATCAGCAATGGCTCATGATATACTTTGTATTCCTGCTGCTGAGTCTGGAGTTGAGCGAGTCTTTAGTGCCGCAAGGGATGTGTGTGGCCACCAACGTGGCCAACTTAATCCTGAGACGATTAAGAGTATTATGCTTGTATATTACTCTCGACAATACAAGAATTGTCAATGTCATCGTGACAAGCTTGCAGATATGATGGACGTCGTTGATATGACTGAGGAGCAAGTAGAAGAATAGTATGAGGCACAACGACAACGGATGTGCAATTCTATCGAGTTACAATATATCAGCGATGAAAAAGAACTACGATCAAATACACATATCCGAGAGACATATTCAAAGGTACAATATCCTCCGTTTAACCCTCAGCAGCCACAGCAACAGCAAGACTTATCACAAGCCGCACATGAAGAACGACAAATGAGCTACCAACAAGGTGAAGAAAGAGATAGGGCTGACCGTCTTAACGAGACCTTATACGACATCCCAGATGACGATATCCTAGCTAACGAAGATATAAGAGAAGATGGTAATAATGAGGAGCCTATACTTCCAACTATTCATGAAGATGAAGATAAGGATATGCCGTCCTCGCCACCAACGCCTATCCAACATGCTCGGAAGACTGGAAGAGATTTAGTTGATATCTTTCAAGATACTCGTCAAGACCCCATAAATACTTTAGGTATTAGTAGGTCTGGTCGGCCTCATCAAGCAAGGTGGAGAGATGTTCTTAAGCATATATAATAGATAATAGCGTTATGATAATCTTCTGATAATCGTGGTACTTAGATAGAGGAATATACATGATTCGTTCTCACAGCTTACTAGAGATGGCGAGAGTGATGCTGATAGATGTAATACTTTAACTTAACCATAAAACAGTATTAATCGTATGAGGGACTGTTCACATGAAGCATAAATCTTACACATGATAGCCGAGTACTCACTGGGTTTTTACAGAGTAACTGAGTATTGACCTCACTCACCGAGTCGAGTAAAAGGTTCAGCTACTCACCCAGCTGAGTAACACACTGAGCGAGTGAGCCGAGTATTGAGCGAGTAGTGCGCAGCCTAGGCGGGAGGTTCGTAGGTTAATAGAAGTGATAACATATATATATGCATATTCGCCATGAGTCTCGAACAGTATAGAATGACACACGTGCTACAACAGCCCTTATAAGTCGTGTAGGACGTGGTTGGTGTAGTCAAGAGCCTCCTTTCTTTCAAGAGTCTTGAGGCTCTTCGTGCTGACAAGCTTGCTAGAAAGTACGTCTTGTCATACGTGACAGGTTTTTTTTCGGGAGTTTCGGGTTTCGGGTTTCCCAGTGTTGGCGTTGGATTCAAATACTGTACAGTAAGGTACCGTTCACCGGTGAAGCAATATATATAGACATGTTCCAGGATGTCGTATAGAAATATCGTGATTGGAAACAATAACAGCCACGGACGGATCCCTGGAATCAGTTCCCCTCGCAGAGCCTCGCCCGTTTTATCCTTGCTTTCCCAAACGCCGACATGAATGGAAAGTGCGGCTCTCCAGGCACAAAATCATCCAATCCCCCTGTAACCTAGTCTGGCCGTCTGGCCCTCAGGAACCATTCCCGTATCTACTAATCCACTAAATGCACTAAACCTGGCTTGTCTTACTTTGTCTTACTTGTCTTACTTGTGGGAGGCTAAAACCGCCAGCCTCGTTTTTACGTCCCACCATTACCCCCCATGTAAGATGTATTACGTTATGAATGAGGCTCTTAGGTTATCCTTCTTTTCTTCATATCGTCATTTCTTAATCTCATTTTTACCTCCTCATTCCTTGCCTCGGGAAAACGTATGCCATAGGTCTGTCTCAGCTAGCTCCCGGCGGCTCAAATGATCATGGCCCCTTGCTGCTTTGATTGAGGCTCCTCTCAGACTAACTACGGACTCCACTTTTTGTATAAGACCCCCCATGCCCTCTCAAGGGCACGACTCTCATAATAGCTTCCGGTCTCGTCTCCCAAAAAAATTCTCTGCGATGCAATCAGCCTCCCGTCGTTCATCTTTAATACGTTTGGTGCATATAAGTGCGCCCTGTTCATCGCTTCCTAGCCGCCCATGAGTTCCCTGGAATCATTGCCAAACGAGCTCTGGTGGGCTATTGCTTCTTCGTTAGAAATCGAGGATGTCATCAGCCTATCTAGGACATCGAGGCAGTTATATCAATACGTTTTTAGTAACCAGGTGTCTAGGGCTGTAGCTCAGGTTAGTGATATTCTCGTCGCCGACGCTCATTTTACTGTGTCTGTTGCTCATATTCTCTCGGAAAAGGCCAAAATCCCATTGAGCAGGGAATTCATTTCGGCCACGCAATGTCGCACGAGCTCGGCCCAAGCCTTGCGTAAATGGGCCAAGAAGACGGAAGCATTAACGACAGCGAAACCCTACTCGGTCGCCATCGTTGGTGTAGGGCAAACTTATATGTACTCCAAAGGTGCTCTGTGGTACATGCACAACGGTACACTACGTCTGCTGGAAACACGGCAATCCCCTAGGGAGGAACTAGTTGTTGATCTATCTAGTCTTCTCAATAAGACTGCTTTTAAGGCGCAGTCAAAGGTTGCAGGATCATTCTCGTTCCTTCATTATCATGAGGATGTTTTGTCCTGTTTGTTCAGATACGCGCACCCAAGACGTGGAGGCTGGCTTATTGCGGTGGACGTTAAGAAACCAGCTATTCTCCTCAGCACTGAGGTAGCCTCAACTGAAAAACTCTTTGCACGTCATGATAGAGACTATCTCTACTACGGAGTCCACATCTCCAACGACTATGACAACCGCAAGAGGTGGGTTCTTCATGGGTATGATTTAAAGAACGGCAAGTTTCTGGGGCGCAATAACTTCCTCTATGATCTAATTGGTGCTGAGATTGGCTCCACTATCTGCTTCGAAGTCGTGGATGGCTTTTTCTATGCAGTTTCTAACCAGACGACATATGAAGTGGAGGAAGTTGACTGGACATCTTTCTACCATGGCAGGCGATTTCCACTCAGCAATACATCTGAGAAGAAGCTAGACAAAACAGAAGATCAGCGTATGTGGCGCCGCCAACACCTCGAAGGGCCTCTAGACGATCGCTGGACGAACCTTGCTCTTGCAATCGACGAAACAACTGGCCAACTCACAATCGTGGAATCACGCAAGGAGTGGCTCGAGGGCCGCACCGTCGGCCAAAGAACAGTTTACAAAACCAAAGTTGTTTTTCCCAAGCGGCCAGTCACGGAGAACAACAGCAGCAGCCCCCCCCAAGCTAACACTGCGCCCGCACTGCCGCCCGCCTCACCAAATACGTTTCAGCCATTCGGCACTGCACCATTCCAAGCGCAGCACCCCATGGATTACCCCTCGTCCTCACCCTCCTCGGACGAACACCAGCGTCGCAAAGAAGACTTGGCAGCACTAACCCAAGACCGCCTCGCGCTCACCATCACCGCCTCCAACAAACCGCACTTCTCGCCTTCCCAGATCCGGCTCCCGAGGAACGTGCACGCCGAGTCTACTACGCTGCCAGGTCAGCGCTCCTTCATCGTCACCAAGACGCCAGTGAGATGCTATGATCTGTCTTCTAGCGCGTTCGTGGACCTGGTCAATGACATCCCGCACCCTGATCCAGGAGTGCAGCAGTGCTTGCGCATCCGGGCGTGTTCGCGCCGCCGCAAGGGGCCTGCGCGTGGGGGTGACGGGATTATCCCACCTCTAGCACGCAATCCGGAGACCGGCGAGCTAGAGGAGGAAGAGGGGTTGGATGAGGAGTATGAAGACGGCACAGTCGAGATGTGGCCGCCAGCACCGGATGCACAGGGGAAGTATAGCGAGGGTGGACGGGACCTCCACGTGCTGATGAATCCGCCGGGGTATATGGGGAAGGTGCACGGGACTTTTGATGGGACGGGGTTGGTTTATTCGACAGGGGGGGAGGGGCAGAAGGCGATTGTGTTGGTGAATTTTGATCCCGCGGTGTATCTGCGTGGATTGAGGAAGTGCTCGATGGATGATTTGGGCTCGGGGGGCGGTGCTGCATCTGCTACTTCTCGGGCGTTCACATCCCAGGAGTCTAGTGGAGGAGCATCACCTAAACGGCCTAACTCCTCGATATTCACCACGGCAGAATATGGTATGAAGGCGTCCTACCATTCACCAAAACGGGCAAAAACAACCCCATCACCCCCTACTCCGTGCCCAACTGAAGGACCAGCACCAGCACCAGCGGTAAAGCAGCAACCAAACTGCCCCTGGCTCCGCCGCGAAGCAGCAATGTACCTCTCGATATCACGAGGCTTCGATTTCGGCTTATAACTATCTAGCGTATTAGTGTGCGTACTTCAAACAATACAAATATTTTCCATACCAACCCCCTTCCTCCCCTCCCCCACGCCTTATCCCGCGCGTGTCGTTCGTGAGATGCCCAGTTCGCTGCACGTGCTGTATGTGCTATGCCCGCTGTCGCAGCTCCCACTGTAGATCCCCGCTCGCGATGTGACCCAAGCTCCCAGCCGGCCATCGGCACACGGATGAAATATGCACGCAGCTGCGCAACCAAACGCCCAGCTTCGGTGAGGGAAAATGCATCATCCAGCACACCGAAAAGGCTGAGCCCAAGGCAGACAATATCGGAACGCTCACCGGTGCGGCCTGCTGATGTGTGCGTAGGTGCAGCAGTTAATAGAAATAACCCCGCCCTGCAGGTATCTAGCCCACGCCCTGAGGCGTGTGGACCTAGGGACCCCCCAAACGCTGCACACAGAAACAAGGCTGCGAAATATGCAGGTCTGCGATTACGCCAGCACGGGGCACGATGCAGGGTGTGCGATGGTGGATGGAAGGAGAAGAAGCTCTTCTGGGTAAGTCGATGCGTTTCCAGTCCCCCTCATTGAAGGGGGGGAGAGGGAGGACAAATCACCATCCGTCGTGATACTCTCGTACTCGTGATATGTTGAACTATGCGGCTCTGCAGCCTTGCCGGGTTGAGGAGGCGCCACAGGCAGGGGTTTTTACTCAAAAGTATAATGTATTAGAATGTGTGTGGATGGAATGGGGTAGATAGCGGTTAGTATTTACAAACTGGGGTCTTCACCGGCTGCAAGATGATGGGTCGGTGGGTAAGTAAATACTCCATTAGTATTGACAATACGCTGTCTGCTCTGCCTTCTATAACACCCCCGCGCCGTCGTCTATCCTAATCTACCCCGGCGGCTCATCTATCTGTGTATACCGCATGCTTTGATGCCACTCCCCTCCCACCCTCCAATCCATGCCCACAACACCTTTTGAGATTGCACTTTACTAGGAGGCCGCACACCGAGAAAGCTGCATAACCAACAACCCCTCCCCAATCTTCACCCTAACTAACTCCGCCCTCCTATGTCCTGACCTGCCAAGCGCGCGGGATCTACGGCGCAGCCCCGTGTTACACCCCCACCTCCTTCCTCGGGCCTGTCGCGCGGCACCGGCCCGCACAAGCCTGAGCATGGGTCCTCGATATCTCTCGTCTTGGGGCGTGCCGCTGCTACCCAGCGGGGTCGCACAGGCTTGTCGAGAGGGGTGTGTGAGCGACGCCCGGTTATTACTTGTTTAGTTGTACGTAGTTTCCTAGTGGGTGTTAGTGGTTGGGTTCGAGGAGATTCTAGACTGGGGAGAGCGGGACGCTGGTTTGGGCCTCGACCGACCGGTGAGGAGGGAGTATGGGGGGAGAGCGGGGGATTCCGTGTGCAGACGATATGTCTGAAATGGAGTATTGCAACAAGAAGTAAAGGGGATGATGACTTACCAGGAAATTGCCCCTCCTTCGAACCAACTCTCCCCGTCCACCATTCATTGTCATTCTGCGTCCTGTGAATAATCTCGATCACATCCCCCGTGGCAAAACTCAGATCCCCCTCCGCCTGTGCCTCGTAGTCATACAGCGCCGTCACCGTCTCCGCGACTGGCACTTCGCTGAAGCGACTCGGTTTCGGCTTTGGCGGCGGCGGCGCGGCGCCCTTTGCCTTCGCTGCGGCGCCCCAGTTCGCACCTGTTGAGTTCGCCCGGCCGATGCCGCTCTTGGTATCGCCGTGCGGGGCGAGTGATGACGAGGCGCCGACGGTGTTGTATGCTGGTGGGGGGGCGTCGGAGAAGGACGTGCGTGTCGGTCCCGGTGAGGGCGAGGTAGGCGCCTGATACGGTGAGGCGGATGAGCTGCCGGGCTTGTCTTCGATGGCGAGCTGACTGGTGTCGCTCTCAATTCCGAGACGGCCGGCGGCGGCGCCTGGGCCGTACTTCGGGGGTCTTTTTGCGCCCCGAGTGCGGAATTTTGCTATGGAGAGGGCTTCGGCTGCTTGCTGAATTTCGCCGCGCTTGGCCTCAAAGGCCTCCTCGATGCCGAGGGTAAGGTTGAAGTAGCCGATGTCGCAGCCCTGCATGCGCTCATGGAGGGTGTAGAAGATGTTGAGCTGCATGTAGTAGAAGGATTGGAATAGAGGGATGATGAACTCCCGCTCGAGGCGGAACAGTTTGGGGAGCTCCTCCTTGAGGAGATTGTTGAAGTAGTTGAACTCCTGCGTCGCTTGCTCGACCTCATTCTCTGCCTTGTACATCGCCTTCTCGTCCTTCATGGACTTGTCCTTTTTGTCCTGGAGCTTCTTGAGTGTGGCGCGGTGGCGGTCGAAGTCGAGCTGCTTGTGCTCACGCTTGAGGACGCCCTTGCGAATCTGCTTGACTACAATCATGAGTTCTTCAGCGGGGTGGACGATACGACTTTCGACCATCTGCAACTCCGGTTCCAAGGTAACTTGGAGCTCCTTGACGATAGCTTCATATTCCTCGCACGCTTGAATGCCTTCCGGGTTGCCCTCCGGGACGATCGAGTCCGGATCCGATACTCGACCGGATATAGGTTTGTAGATCTCTGCTATGGCCTGCGAGAAATTGATCTGATGGGTGAGCATGCCATTGACGGCATTCGTGTACTTGCGGGACTCCTCATGGAGCCTCTTTGTCTGCTCCTCGAGCTCCTGAAAACGGCGTTCTGCGTCTATGAATATCGGGTCCTTGGTCTGTTCCCCAAGATTAAGCCTCTGCTTGAACACCTGCGGCGCCTGTCGTTGTGGTTGATCAGCTTCAGCTCTGTGGAACCCCTCATTCGGCGATCTCGACTATACGTACCCTGATGACGCTCTTCTGGAAGCCCTTGAAACTCATGTCGTCGGGTGGTGTCTGCCACAGGGGCAGATATTAGTGCTGGGTATGTACAATACAGCAAAATCGTTGTGCGGTATGAAGCGCAACGATTGAAATGGCCCAAGTGGTGCGAATAATAATGCGAGATGTGAGGTCTTTAATGACTGCCGAGGGGCGATGACGAGGATTGCTCCATCTACCGTCGTGGCTGTGCGGCTGTGCGGCTGAGCTTTGAGTGACCTGGCGCCGCAGTAATAAAATGCCCCGCGAACAGCCAAGTTAGAGTAGAGTAAGACAGGTGCCTTGGAGAGTTGTGTGTTTCGTCAACAGATGAAGCTATTCGTTATGTTATAGAGTATACTAATCTATTCAATTGGTACTCTGTAGTCGTAGTGAGTGCTTCCTTCCTTTTACTTCCTCCTTCCCTATCCCACCAGCCAAAAAGACGAACCACAGCGCCCACCATCGTCGCATCTTAGTTTGTACAGTCCTGTTGCTGAAGAGTACTTTGGTAATATACTGTTATTGTACTGTAGTCACATGTACCTACGGAGTTAACTACTGTCACTACTAGGCACAGTAAAAAGTTATCGGCGTTCGGAATAACCGGCTTTCCTTTGTTGGCCTTATTGACCAATCACCGGTTGTCGCCTAATATTATTTGCTGGATCTTCATCGGAGCTCCTTTGCCGCTTGCCACTACATCAAAAAGACCGGAGTTGACCTTCTTGCTGCCAGAAACAATGGCAAATGTTGGCTCATCATCGTTGCGGCAGGCCGCGCGCCTGTGCGCGAAGAACATCTCTTCAGCAGGACTGATTAGAAGCTCCGCTTTACCGCGAGCGGCGGTTGTGGCAGCTTCAGGGCAAAAAGTCTCGGGCCGACGCTACATCTCCGAATCGAATAAGGATGCTGCTCAGATGAACGTCGAGTCGGCCATCAAGGCCGACCAGAAGAAGTTCGTCCAGGGGATGGGGAAGACCCAGCTCGAGCAGCCGATGCAGACCACGGGGGCGAACGCGGATGCTATGATGGATCCTATGGCGGGTATGAATTTGCTATCTCCGAGAGAGGTGCGACTTTTTTATTGACCACGTATAGGTGTCTTGAAACAGGCTACCATCATGGACGAAGGACAGAGGCCCATCTATCTCGATATGCAAGCCACGACTCCTCTTGATCCCCGTGTTCTGGATTCCATGCTGCCGTTCTTCACTGGACTGTACGGAAACCCTCACTCGAGGACGCACGCGTACGGTTGGGAGACGGATAAGGCCGTCGAGCAAGCCCGCGAGAACATCGCGGCCTTGATCGGTGCCGATGCGAAGGAGATCATCTTCACGTCGGGGGCTACGGAGAGTAACAACATGAGCATCAAGGGGGTGGCGAGATTCTTCGGAAGGTCGGGGAAGAAGAAGCACATCATCACATCGCAGACCGAGCACAAATGCGTGCTTGACTCGTGTAGGCATTTGCAAGATGAGGGCTTTGACATCACATACCTTCCTGTCCAGAGCAATGGCCTCATCAGCATGGAGGAGCTTGAGGCAGCTATCCGTCCGGATACCGCTCTCGTCAGTATCATGGCTGTCAACAACGAGATTGGTGTTATCCAGCCTCTTGCTGAGATTGGCAACCTGTGCCGCTCCAAGAAGGTGTTCTTCCACACCGATGCCGCCCAGGCTGTTGGCAAGATCCCAATGGACGTCAACGAGATGAAGATCGATCTGATGTCCATCTCGGCACACAAGATTTACGGACCAAACGGTATTGGTGCCTGCTACGTGAGGAGAAGACCAAGAGTCAGGCTTGACCCCATCATCACTGGTGGTGGCCAGGAGAGAGGATTAAGAAGTGGCACACTTGCGCCACCGTTGGTTGTCGGCTTCGGCGAGGCTTCCAGAATCGCCAAGCAAGATATGGATGTAAGCATTCCGTTTACTACTTCTTACAGTCCCCCCCTTATATGATTATATGCTCTCATATGCATGGCTTTCTTAGCGGCCTCCCCTACGGGGTTGAAGCTGTCATGACGTCTATAGCACGGTGAATGAAATTAGGACCTCATCCTACCTTGAAAATCCAATTCAGTCGTCGGGAACCTAGCTGACCATTCCCCGCAGTACGACACCAAGCACATCAAGAAACTCTCCGACCGCCTCCTCTCCGGCCTCCTCGCCATGGAACACACCACCCAAAACGGCGACCCCAACCACTTCTACCCCGGCTGCGTCAACGTCTCCTTCGCCTACGTCGAAGGTGAATCCCTTCTCATGGCGCTGAAGGACATTGCCCTCTCCTCCGGCAGCGCATGCACCTCCGCCTCGCTGGAGCCCAGCTACGTGCTCCGCGCGCTCGGCAGCAGCGACGAGAGCGCGCACAGCAGTATCCGTTTTGGCATTGGCCGATTCACGACGGATGCTGAGATCGACTATGTGCTCAAGGCTGTCCGGGAGCGGGTTTCGTTCTTGCGCGAGCTGAGCCCGTTGTGGGAGCTTGTGCAGGAGGGGGTGGATCTTAACACTATTGAGTGGAGCCAGCATTAGTTGGTTGTTGTGCCGTGATAGGGAGTATGTGGGATTGTGACACTGTACAAAAGACAACGTTAGCAAAGGGAGGGGGGTTATTGATATCCAAGGGCGTTTATTGAGCACGTATGGGGGGGTTACTCATTCAAAGCACGCATTTGTTGAAAGCCGCGTGAACATAATTTACCTTCTTTACTGTACTGTTTACTGTGCTGTACATCGTGAAGGGAACACCATTTTGCGCCTTGGACCCTATGCACGTCTTCAACAGCCATCAACAACCATCAACAACCATCAACACCTCAAACCCCTGTATTCATCAGTGGAGTCTCCGCCATCTAGCAGCTTGTGGAAGGTGCTTCTTCCTCCTCGCCCACTTCATCCTAGCCTTGCTGCTCTTAACATTATAGATTATGACGTCAACCCCTCAACCCACCAATCAGATCCCCCCAACACCCCATGGCATTCTCGCCAGACCCTGGAAATGCCATGACGTAGATGCTAAAAGTGATGGAATTGCTGAAATGCTGTGCTTGTTTACCCCTCCATGCACATGCCGTGGGTCGCCGGGTTGTTGTTCGCGATTCCATGAATTCCTCAAGAATGGGGGGGGGGGGAAGGGGGGAAGGGGGGAACTATATAATGGGGGTTTCTCCTGAGTTTGATGCTCTTTTTCTTTTCTTCATTATCATCTTACAAGAGAATCATACAAGCATAAACAGCTTCACTTCACTTCACACGCATATCAAACTAAACACATCCAACCCACTTCCCCAAACTCAAGCACACAAACAAACCCTCAAAATGTCCGACAACAACACCTCCACCATCCAGTCCTACATCGATTCCGCAACCGGCACCGTCCAATCCGCCCTCGGCTCCCTCACCGGCTCCACCGCCGACACCAACGCCGGCGCCGCCAAGCGCGACAAAGCGACCCTCGAAGACGCCGCCAGCCACGCGACCTTCAAAGGTCCCGGCTTCACCGCGACCGCCGACGGAATCTCCAAGGACGACCCCAACCGCCAGAAGGGCAGCTGGAACCAGACCATTGGCGCGGGCAAGGAGGCGCTCGGCGGACTAGTGGGGTCCGAGGATCTTAAGCGCGCGGGGCAGCAGCAGAATCTGCAGGGGAAGGGACAGGAGGCGCAGGGGCAGTTGAATGATCTTGGAGGGGGGATTGCGGGGAGAGTGTCTGGGGCGGTTGGGGGGGCTGTTGCCGGGTTGACGGGGGATAGGGAGGCGCAGGTGGAGGCGCAGAAGAGGCATGATGAGGGGAAGGCGCAGCAGAGGGGGGCGGAACATGATATTCAGAAGCAGAACCAGTAATACCAGATGGAAGGTAGGGAAATTTATCATGACTTGTTAAGTACCCATTTTTGAGAAGATTTTTTATGATTCAGCTTCTGCAAAAGGTGAAAAATCAAGTAATGTTTAATTTTTCGCAAAACCTGTGTGAAAAAAAACCCCCCATTTTATAACATGGTTGAAACATAATTTAATGAGAGTCGTTGAAACCCAAAAAGGGACATTAATAATAAGCAGTTTGAAACATAAAAGGACCATTAGTAATACTTTAGTATTATTAAACGGACCCTCTAATGGATCAATCAGAGGGCGCGCTGTACGACATAGCCCCGCTGGATGACCCGGCTGGAAGACCCGGCTGGAAGACCCGGCTGGAAGACCCGGCCGGCTGGAAGACCATGCGGTAACCAGATATCGGACAGTATCTAGCATCCTCACGTAATTTCTACACGACGACGTAAGTGCGAATGAACACTATACTGCTCCGTAATCCATCCGGGATCTCACAAAGCCGAGTCTATCTATCCATTCAGGTAACTTGGCCGGAGTCTATCCATCCCATCATCATCCCATCATCCCATCATCCCATCATCCTCCTAAGCTGACTGGAGAATGCAGTAATGCGATAAATGATAATGCTAAAAAAACGCGCCCCTCTCCCAGCACAATGACGTGTCTCATCCCCCAACGTCTGCACATCACCCCGCCGCCCAACTGCTGTGCCACAGAAAGTCGTGGACTGCCCGCACTGGCTGTGCGTTTAACCCTTGGGAACCACGAGGGCGGAATTCTCGTCCCTCACCCTTCCTTCCCTCATCCACCTGTATACAGTGCACAGTAGCTCCCCTTCATCTCATCTCCACGGCGGGGAAGGAGCACAGCGGAGACGCCGCACAGATCCCAGGTGCACCAGCGCAAGCTCCGGGAGTCAATCTGCTAAGTTTCCTCAAGTGAGCGCGCAGGTACTTGGTTACATGGTGAGTTTGAGGGGGCTTGCGTGGTGGATCTGGGGCATTTTGGTGGGCTGGGCCGCAAGACGTCATGTAATCGACCTCTGGGTCTAGACCACTGAGCTTGAGTGGTGGGGGGGGGGGGTGGATTGATGGTCTGAGAATGAGGGAGTTATAAGGTTAAGTATGACCCGCATGATGGATTGATTCTGGTCGTTCTTGCCTGTTGAATATATTATAACGAATTCTTTGTTGTGACTTCCTCGCACTCAACCATCGGTTGCTCTTCCTTGACGGACTGGATTATTAGAGTGTCTTAAGAGTGTCCTAGAGTGTCTTAGAGTGTCTTTGAGAATTGGGGCTTGAAGCGTCATACATTCTGTACAGGACATCATCTATACTGTACAAACAGCTATTCAATATCGAGGAGGGGTGTATAGCTATCCATCATCCTCGACGAACACTGGAACGGAGGCAATTCCACGCAAGAAACTACAAAGAACGGCATTCGGCTCAAGCCAATCCCTCACAAACCGCAACGAGAAACACATATCAATCCAGCTCATCCAACCTCTCCAAAAAGGACCACAAACCACATTTCAACCCACCCAATTCCACACAACAATGTCCTTCCGCAGCAACCCCCTCTCCGCCTCCCCCACCCGCGCCCTCACCCTCCAACAATATCTCCTCCTCCACTCCGAGCACGAATCCCTCCGCCTCAGCCTAGCCGCCTACCCCATCGACACCCTCTCCTCCTACCCCGCGACCACCTACCCGTCGACACCCTACTCCGTCGCCACGGCCGCAGCCTACGACGCCGACGCGAGAAAGCTGCACGATGTGAACCAGCAGATCAAGAGCGCCTTGACGGAGTTATTGAATTGTGAGAGCGTGAGGGGGGATAGGTTGTATCGCGCGTGGGTGCAGCGCAGGTTGATGGAGGCGGAGATGGAGTTGAAGGAGGGGAGGAGGATGAGTGCGGGGGGTGGGAGGAGGATGAGTGCGGGGGATGGGGGGAGCATGGAGGGGTTTGGGGAGGTGAGGGTTGAGGAGGCGAGGGCGTGAGGGTCCTGGGAATGGGAAGGAGGGGGGAAATTTCTGGGGCTGGGGGCTGGGGGCTGGGCTGGGCTGGCTTTGCGGGTATTGCTGGTGTTTTTGATTGATAAAAGAAAAAGCTGGATTTTTTGGGGAGAAGGAATGGTTGTATAATTATTGGACGTGCCTGTGGCATGGGGAGAAGATAGCATTATCACTTGCTGGACGATAGTGGATAACAACCTAATGGACGGTGGGCACCACGGCGCGTTTTAGCGTGGGTATGGGCAGAACTACTAGAAGTAAAAATTAACAAAAAGCATTAATATAACTGTGGGCGTCGTGAGAAATGTGTGATGTTTCAGGCTTGGGGCGGGATAGTGTGGGTATGGAAGGGTGGTGTGTTCAAAGATGGTAGCGGAGATCTCATGTTGTATTCGAAGTCAGTATCATGGCATGGAGTGCACATGTCATTACAAAATGATGCGTGGAGGTAAGATGATGTGATTATTTGTCCGAGAAGTATCAAGCTAGTATATACAAGTGCAACACAACTATCTACCCAAACCCCAAATACTATGACGTAGTATCCGTGGGTAGCATATACCATCAGATTAGCCTAGGTCGAGCAAGGTATCATGCATCGCTTCCATCATCCTCCGCTCCTTCTTCCTCCTCATTCCTGAAAGTTGTGATGCCAGAGGCGTTGTAAGCCTTCAATCACGCCGCCACAGTCTAGGTGCAGACGCGCAACCAATAATCGCTTTATCTTTGCCTCGTCCTTTTACTGGTGGGTTGCTCGGAAGAGGCTAGCCGAGTGTATTCGTTTCAACCGTGGGTGGTGAATGGTCTGGCCGGGTTGAGACGAACGGTTACGTGTCGTCACTACAACAATAACGACATGACTGAGCCATATCTAACATGCCAGATTGCCCTACTATGGGGCTGTCGGAGGTTATCAAGGAGGATGTCCATCCCCGCAACCATTGGCGCGATTGATATCTAAATGCCCCAGTCAGAGTCTTCAACACAAAAGCGAAGCAGGAAAATTCCAGGACGGCATGAGACACATCAGAAAAGTTGAGAAGATTGTTTTATGCGGTGTTTCTAGTCATAGTGATGATTCCCCGTGGGTATCGGCCCATCAGCGAATCCAGACTTCTATGGCCCCGCGGAGTCATCACGTGTGTTGTCCATTATAATAATAAAACACGAGGGAAGAAGAATCAAAAGGGCATTTGCCATACCTCAAGTACAATCTTATTCCGGTCTGAACCGACCCCGCCTCTCGGTCTTCATGCCCTCCACCCTCTTCCTATCCTCCTCGAATCGCTTGAGCAGCTCTCCCTGCTCCTCCTTCCTCCTCTCCCGGCCCTGGAAGCGGTAGAAGTCGCCCATAGATTTCCTCTTCGCCTCCTCCTTCTCTAGCTCCTTCTTCCTGGCTTCATCCGCGTCGTGCTGTCGTGCGGGACCGGTCCTTCCACCGCGAGTGACGGTGATAAATCCATCTTCATCCGGAACATTGCGTTGACGCTTCGCCAACCTCGCAGCTTCCTCTTCCTTCCTATTCCACTCCGCCATGAAGTTGTCCACCGCAGACTGCAGCTCATCCTTGGGGGGGTATGTCAACTTCTGATGCGCCATGTATCTCGATGATCCCAGTGCAGGGACACCACTGACGCCCGCTCCCCAGACAGGGTACTCTCCGCTCTTATTCGCCTTCTTGATCGCCTTCAGCGCATGCTCCACACACCTCGCATCCGCCAGCACCGCGACGGCCGTGCTGCCACTACGGTGCAGATTCCTATCCCAAGCCTTGGGCAAGGCATCTTCCGCCGTCTCCGCATTATTGACAGCATCCGCATGTTTCCTCTTCTTATTCTTCGCGCTCTGCACCAATTTCGTCTCTGCTACAAGCGGTGCATTCTGTCGCTCATTCTCGAAGATAACAGTCTCAAACCTTCCGGCTCCGAGTAGCGACGAGAAAATTGACCGGATATGCTGCTCTGTGCTGTCGATTGGGATGTTAACGAGGAAAAGGCTTCGTGAATCGGAGGGCGTGGGGATTTTAGGTGCATGCGGGCGGACGTAGATGCTGTGTACGGCCTTGACAGTGTATGCGCTCGTCTCGGGTATGGATACGGGGAGGATGGAGTATTCTCCGATACTGGCGATTGCTTTTGGCATCGTGGCGAGGCGTATGCGATTGAAGTCGCGATGGTGGTCCTACGGGAATGGTTTGGTAGGCTGCGGAAAGAAATCACCAAAAGTAAAATCCTTATCTTATCAATATCATGCGCCGCCAAGTCAAATGCGGTTAACTACCCGAAAGCTGGGGTTTGAGCTTCTATTTATCATTTTTTGTCCAATGCTAACAGCACTATAAAGCCGGAATATTTTGTGGTATAAGTACTTGAGCAGAATGAGCATCTTCAAGTTATCATTGCAATATGATGTTCTTGCGCTTTGCTGGCGGAAATCACGGACAGCCAGCACACCAGCGAGGTCGTCCCCAATTACACCTTCTCAGGGTCACTGATGCCTCCATTGGTTATGATATATGTAGCCTCGCGCTCTGGGCAGTCTACCATTTGTCAGTATATAAGTATAGCGCCATTGAAATGGTGACCTACTTGGTGAATCAATGATCTTTGCAACTCGTTCTTCTCCACGACCTTTGCGAAGGAGAACCCTTGTAGTCGAGGCATGCGCGAGAACATGGCCACCAACAGGTTTACGCCCATCAGTACCGGCAAATAGAGCGCTGGCTCCAGGGTCAGATTGAACTTGGTTTGTCTCCGGGAGTGTCAGTCCAAATCATATAAAACTATGGCTGTCAAGCTTACCATCACGACGCAAACGTTGAACTCTTCCGCCAGAGCTGCAAGACGCTTGAGGAACTGGCCGAGGGCTTGCTGACGCTCTGCAAGCTCGCCGCGGCCGCTGTAGTCGGTTCGGAAGAGGGCCATGACACTATCAATGACCAGAAGCCGATATTCGCCACTGCAGAAGTTGAATGCCAGAACATCCAGAAGTTCATACTGATGCTGCATGGTATTAGTAATAGGCTCTCTCGAAGGTGCTTTGTTGACGAACCTCGCTGTTGAGGCTTCGAGACACACAGATGTTGTCACAAGCTTGCTCTGGATCAACTAGAGGAGAGATTAGGACTGAGTAGCAGTGTAAGGCAGGGTTTCCCGGGCGACATACCACCAAAGCGCTCAGCAATCTGCGCAATTCGCTCTGGACGAAACGTGCCCTCAGTATCTGCCTATTGTCAGTTCTGTCCTTGTGATAATATAGCAAAAAAACTCACCGATCCATGCAACCTTTCCTTCTGCGCCTCCCATTTCCTACGGTTCCTTCAGTAAGTTACTTGTTGAAACAATGGGGGTGCATCTTATTACCCTTGGCAGCTGGGCCATGACAGCCATAGTATGGCAGATCTGTGTCTTTCCACAACCTTGGAAGATTCAGTACCCCATCAACGTTTTGTGAAATAAGAAACATACGGAATTCGCCATATATTTCACTGATGCTCATAGTCTCGAAACCCCTATGGCTTGTCAATGCCGCCTTCGTAGTCTGATTCAATAGCCATACCCAAGGAGGATTGTGTCAAGCTGCTTGCTTCCCGTGCTTATCTTCATGCATTGCCTGCGTTTGACCGCCAAGTCAGTGGCAGTCACAAAGCCGTTCGCGTCCGGCTACAAGGAATATCAGCTGGTGAACTGTATCGGATATTCGTGTCCATGTTACCATCATTTTCGCCGCAGCTTCTTTGATTTTGAGGACTTTGACCTCGGACAATCCCTTGATTCTTTCCATCTTCTTCCTTGTCATAGACAAAACGCCCTGGCAAAGTAAGAATGCTGCACAATGACACAGGATACATTGTGGTTGCTCACAGTCACAGTGTGGATGCCATTCAGCTTGAGTTTCGCAATGTCCGATGCCGATACGCCTGATGCAATGAGAGATGTCCAACCCGTAATTAAGGTCGAGCGACTTACCATGAGCTTGAATGCTATCAATGTCGATGATGACAAGCATGCTCTGGGAAATGTCAACATGGGTTAGACAGAATGGTAAGTGGCTGTCTTGCCTCATCGCCGCCATCGATATCACCAATGATTGAGGCTGGAGCCATAATGGATGAGGATGTCTTGCTCGGATGGATTGTCTAGTTATTGGGTCACTTCAAAATTCCGTCGATCTCGATCAGCCTCGCCGAGGTTTGGATGAGTGAAGGGCAAGGTAACGATCAAAGAATGTATCTCATGAATGTCAGGTCATACAAGTGAATTGTCAGTCCTATAACTACACAGCTTGCCTTTGGATTGAATTGAACCCTGAATATGAAATTATTCCCAGGGATATTATGGAAACGGAGAAGAGAGGGAGAGCTGAGTGGGATACCGCCCAAAAACAAAACGAGAGGCCCAGATAGGATAGCGCCAGGCTGCCGCCTCATGGAAGTGAGGCCGCACACTCGGCATCTACCGCCATCCTCTGGCCTCCGAATGGCACACATGTTATAGAACATGGGAAAGCGATGAACTGCCACTCTCTTTCCTTCATATTACATCTTGTAGGTAAAAGATAATAAAAAAATTCCTATTGCCTGAGATATCCAACGTCCATTCATGGTAAATGCAAGGACATAAAGGCTATTGGGGAGCACAGAAATATTCCAATCAGTTCTCCAAAATGAAATACAGACCAACATGCTAATTGTTTGTCAACAGATGAACGGACAAGTCTAAGAAATACGAAACAAGATATTGTCGACTGTATGGAATAACTTATAACATTATTTTTGACAAAAATACAATGAGTGGCGACCTTTCGGCCTATCGCAACTGGTACGAAACTGCGCTGCTGTTGGCTGATCAAACACGAACAACCATGTAATAATGGAAGGCATATCAAAATACCTATACAAGTACATGCACTTGCAAGGAGGCAGGGCGTTCCAGCGGCTGGCAGCTCTTACCGTTGTCGCACAAACTCGGTGTTTGGGGCTGCTGCTCTAGCAATTCTTGGCGCCAGAAAGGACATATCATCTCAGAGAGGCCCTTTGAGTACAGTACATACAACTCGAGCAGCTTGCTTCTCTCATGCCAAAAGCCGTACGCAGTCGAGTCAAGTATGCTCTGGACCACGAATGTGGCAACTTCTGGCAACTTCGAGCGGCAGGGCTGTATGGACTTTTGTGTGAAGCTGCGAATGTCATCACAGCCACACGTTTTTGCTGGGTCATGTCGCGCCTGGTCGCTCCTTCAATGGATGGTAAGCAGCTTCAATTGGTCGACCACTGTTGGGTTTGCCCCTTGTTCCCGTTTGACTTTGTTGCTATCACGACCGCTAATCCTATGCAAGGCAAGTGCGTGGCGTAGCTTGACGAGTGAGAGCTTGGAAGTTTCAGTCGCATTCGATCAAAGCGGGAAACCGCAGCTAATACTCTTAAGAGATTTCTCCACGAGTTCCGAGCACTCTTTCGTTTGCACATCTTTATCAACAATCAACCGATTATCTTGAAGTCTACGCGAACGTTGCCGTTGTCGTTGTTGTTGAATAGGAGAGAAGGAGAAGCAGAAGACGTCGAAAGAAGGAAGTTAGAAAGCTAGGAAAGGACAAAGTAAGCTGTTGACCAGAAGGAATTACGTTGAAATGTAAGTTGGATGATTGTTTTAAGCTTTGTCGTTTTGCACGACTCCGGAGAGAAACCCTTCGCCCAACGATATGCAGGAACAACGCAACTGCAGCTCGACCTGCCGCATCATCAAAACTTTTGTGGCACCACTCGGGATGTTTCGACAAAGCTTCGCCGCCACTCTCGACACACAAATTGAGGCGTATGATGGCGTAACCATACACTACGGAGGTTTACTCTTGCGGTGAAGAGATCCAGAATACGACAATAGGATCGATAAACAGATCGATGCCGTTGCACTACACTACGTTGGAGGACATGACATTTCTTAAATTATAATTATTGCAAAAACAGCCGATGCTAACTACAAATTCTCCAGATCCCACTCTACATATCATGTCGTCTCTCTCTCGCCGCGCCTGCTACAAGTGTGGCCAAATTGGCCACACAGCAAACGAGTGCTCATCCGCTGAGCGTCTCTGCTATAACTGCAAGCAACCTGGACACGAATCGAACGGCTGCCCGCTCCCACGCACCACTGAGGCAAAGCAGTGCTACTCTTGCTCCGGCATTGGACACGTCCAGGCTGACTGCCCAACCCTCCGTCTTGCTGGAACCTCGGGTCGCTGCTACTCCTGTGGCCTCCTAGGCCATCTTGCTCGCGACTGCAGCGCACCACCTGGTGTTGGTGGAATGGGTCCTGGAATGGGTCCTGGCGTTGGCCGTGGTGGATTCGCTCCTCGTGGCGGATTCCAGGGTGGACTTGCCCAACGCGGAGGAGCTTTCCAGGGCCCTCGCCCAACCACCTGCCACAAGTGCGGTGAGCGCAACCACTTTGCCCGAGACTGCAAGGCTCAGGCACTGAAGTGCTTCGCGTGCGGCAAGTTCGGTCACATCAGCCGTGACTGCACTGCACCAAACGGCGGTCCTCTCAACACTGCAGGCAAGACCTGTTACCAGTGCGGCGAGGCTGGCCACATCTCTCGCGACTGCCCGCAGTCCCAGAGAGTCCCAATGGGATTGGATGTTGATGGCAACCCAATTGTCGCCGGAATTGCGCCAATCGCCTAGATACAATGAACACCGCTTCACGAATGGTTCTGATGACCTGACATAACGACTTGACTATTTTAACATCGGCCTTTTTTACTTCTATTTGGACATAAATACGTAACCAACACTCGCTGCTCCATTTTAATACGCAATTCGGTATTGGCATCCTCATCACGAAATATATTCTGGGCTTTGCATGTCGCGGAAACGTCTTTATTTACCGGCGCCTGGTCTGATCATGGGTGTGGCTTCGACTTGGAAAGGAAAAAAATTGTCGTCGCCCAAAAAGGTCTATTACGTTTTTGCTTTGCGCACTTTAATCTCGTTTTCATTACCGTTATCCATTTCCTTTTACGACTTTGCAACAAAACCCGGGAACCTGGTAGATACCTTTTGACGATATTGGCACAATTTGATCCAGTGGTTTGGAACTGAACTGATCTCCGGAGAGTAAGGGGAGGAGGGGAAGGGGAGAAACCATATGGAGGCGGCCATGGTATGTGGTGAGGTGGAAAGGGAAACATTGGACGGGCAGAGGATGGAAGGATTGGACAGTGGGCTGTAAACGGGAGAATGGTGTAGATGGAATGGACCTTTGCGGTGGTAGTATTATAGTATAGTAGGTCGTTGAATCAATGCTGAAATGCCCAGCGGCTCTTGTGGATCCCATGTCTCCTTTGGGTGACGGCGGTGAGACTGATCCAGCACTTGAAACATGTATCAATGGGCGGTAGAAGACAATAATCGTACGATGGTAAGAGTGCAGCACCCGCAAGTCTGAGAAAAGGACTCGATATTGTTGCCCAAAGGCTAGATACAGCTTGCAAGCCACCCATGGTACTTAAGTGTTCACACAACTAGAATTATATTTATCACATTATAAGCATTCATCGAGCTGTTTTCTTATAAATCAAACAGAGGGTATAAATTCCATTAGCTTCAAGTCCACATACCGATTATCAGCTGTCATGGTCCCTCATAAGTATTTTTGTAAGGCACGAGTTAGCGTATTCGAATAATGAGTGGTCTAATCTGTGAATACTTCCATCTTTGTAATGTAATACTAAATACTAAATACCAACACCCAGTAGTCGCTCCGCTCATCATAAACACATCTGCCCCCCAAGAACGCCATGGATGGCATTTTGAGAAGCGTAACTGCCAAGTCTTGCTTCCGACATCTCGAACCGACCGAAGGAGACAATGGCCATGCCTTCATCCACCTTAAATTCGCTCTAAGGGTAGGGAGATGGAAGGTGATACTTTATCTGCAACTCCTTTGGGCAATACTTCGGCTGGCTCTGGCGATTCTCGCTCTAATTTCGCTGGTTAGCTGTGACTATTCTATGGGCGCCCCTCTCTTTAAACTTATCGTGGGCGAGACTGATGAGATGCCGTTATTTCTACCGTAACGTGCCACTCTTTCAAATGAGCATGAGCACGATTCTAACCCCTTGGAGATGCCCAGAAATGTGCTTCTTAATACTGCTGCTACATCTGATCTAGCAGACATACTACGACGATGCGGCTCGACGATGCGGCTCAACCGTTTCGGATATTATTGAATATCACTTAACTTACTCTGGCAAGAATCCGTTTTGTTACAGCTGCACCACCATCGCATCTCTCATCTTCCAATAACTCCACTACCATTTTACACCAGTCCGTTCATGAATATGCCATTACGCCCTCCCTGCCCCCTCGCCCACTCTACCTACACATCCGCACCACCGCACCACCCCCAAACGGCGCCCCCACCCTCCCCCTCTCACTCGGATGCACAGGCAGCGGCACATCCGTCGTAGGCGCGACACTCCTTCCCGCCGCCTCAACCACATATTCCACCCCGTCATCACTCACATAACTCGGCGGCCTCCTCGGCGTCTTCCCGTCCTCCGGTATTTGCTCATGACTCTCGCGCCTTGGGGCCGCCGCATTGCGCGCCCAGAACAGGCGATCGGGATCCACGCGCACGCTCTCTCTCCACAACCCGTAAGCCGGCGGCGGAGGCGCTATGGCTTTCGCGTTGGCGCTGACGTTGGCCTCGCTAGGGGTGGTGCGGGAACCGATGAGCACCTCTTCGTCACGACCGAGGGTGACGCGGATGGGCACAGCGGGGGTAGCGTATCCGAGGGGTGAGAAGTGCATGCTTTCCATGCCGGGGATGAAGCCGTCTGCGGGGCGGGGCTTCAGGAGGAGGAGGAGGAGGAGGACAAAGGAGTGGATGAAGAAGATTGTGGGGCCGAGGGCGATGAGGATGAGGAGGACATGGAATTCTTGCGAGATGTAGTGGGTAGAGAGGGCGAGGCCGAGGTCTAGGGGATAGTAGGTTAGCTTGGGGTATTTTTGGGTCCAGGGAGGTGGGCGAAGGGGACTTACAGAGTGAGAATATAGTTATGAGGAACATGCCGGATATGGTACAGTGCATCGCCTTCCGGCGCAGAATAGGGTTCGTGACCCCCGCAAAACATGACCCTCTAGATTGTATGGGAGCCCTTGGCTTCTTCTGCCTCCTGGTCTTCTTCTTCTTCCGACGCGGGTCGCGCCGTGAAATTGCCTCTATAAGGACAAGCTCCTCACGATCCGCACCACTGAATTGGCGTAGCCGCTCGGTGGTATTCTGTCTCGTTGGCGGGGGTGGCGGTATAGATGTGCTCGACTGGAGTGCGCGGAAGGTGTTCGGCGTTAAGGGGCGGTAGTTGGCGGGTGAATGCTCGACGGGCGAAGACGAGATAGACGCCATTGTTGGGGAGACGTATGTCGGCGACCTCGATGGGGATGTTGTCGAGGTGCTCCGAATATGGGGGAGATCGAATCGAGACTGGGAGAAGATGTCGAGCATTAGACGCGGGGTTTTTGGGCTGTCGGGCACTCGAGGGCGAGGGCGAGGGCGAGGCGCTGGTGTGGCCCCGACTTCGGATTGGCCATTGAAGAGTTGGTGGATGCGCTGGCGGAGCGTCGTGATGTGTGTTGGCCGGCGAGAACCACGGCGAGGTGCTCGGCGGTTTGAGTTATCAGGAGCAGACATCGTGATTGTGCCAGGTGATGGACTGGAGGGACTGAGCACGGAGCTTGACGAGGGCCTCGACAGATAATTTTTGAGAGCTTGGTAAGGAGCTTGGACTTGTCGAGATATAAGTGTAGTGTAGCAAGGCCACAACCGCGTCCGCTTTTGTCAAGTAGCGTGTTTATCTCATAAGGATCCAGCCCGTCAGCAAATCGGCCTGCGCGTCGTTTGGTTCCACGAGGTCGACTCGCCCAGTGCTTCGCGGAAAGGTCGGTCGACTGGCAACCAGACCAGGATATCGAGTGGATGGCGAGCGGAATCCTCTTCGTGCTTCCCCAAATCGCTAGTCCCAGCTCAACAGACGCACTTTGTTGCAGTGATCAACACGCAGGAACGGGCAGCGACACGAATAAATAAAAGAGAAAGACAGACTGAGAATCAACCGCCAACAGAATGACGAACACCTCCGAACACGAAACAACAACTAGGAAAGCAGAGCAAGCTCAATGGACATAAGACGGTAAGGAACAGAGAGGGAGAGAGTGTGGAAATACCAGGTCAACAAACCGGCTAAGCAGGTCCCTCCAACTGCGGCCGGATGAGCGTCTGGATCGGCCATTGCTTTTGCGACACGGAGGGCAGGCTGAGACTGCGGGTGTTTGGGGGTTGATTACGTTGATTACGGGGGAGCTAGTTGTGGTGATGAAGGCGGGTGGTGGTTGTTTCAGCATGCTTGCCTCAAAACCCGTGTAGGGGTTCGCGCGCGTTTGGCTGTCGGGGATGGTTTGATATGAGGAACCGGGGGGGGGGCAACATATGTGCGATTTCACATGCGCAGTTTTGAAGATTATCTGCTACCACAATACCATGGACTACCTACGCCAGAATTTAGCTACGGATGGATCGTAAAATCAAAAAGTTTATTGCCAGAGATTGGGATTGCCAATTCGTGTATAATACTCTAGTTATCTTCAGGGATGGTAATGTGTATTATGCGTCGTGACCAAGCCACTTTTGCGGCCGCCTTTTCTCATTTTCCCGCGAAACTTGCGCTGTCCAGAAAGAGACTCTCCTCCGTCTTGAACTTCCCTGTTGGAAGATGGAAAGGCCGCATCTAGGTCTGGATAATCGAGGGCAAGGTGATTCCATATCACTCCCCTGGTCTATAGCCTCGGTATGTAACCGTGATGCTCCCACATGTCCTCACGGGGTCGATATATGCTTGCCAATATACAGTATCTGTAATTCCCCACGTTGCAACCCTTGCACCTTGAAACGTCGGCTCCTTCTCATCCATTAAACGTCATCGCGTCAACCGGTTATCACTTCAGTTCGCCGAGGAGGAGGTTGCGATCAGATGAACCGGTGAGAACTACAGAACAAGTCAGTCTTCAAATGCTTCTACAAGGGCGCAAAGGGCTTGTCCCTGTTATTCACATGTTTGGACGAGGGTAAACTTACTGATCGGTTCAGGTCCCGGAGAGAACTCTGCGCAATTCACCGTTCCCTTGTGGCCTGGCAACTTATACAGCAGCTTCCCAGTATCATTCGACCAGACCACAGCTGTGCCGTCGCCCGCGCCGGCCGCAATCTTCTTGCCATCCTTGTCCCAACTCGCCCGTATGAGGTTCTTCTCAATTCCTACATTCGCGCCATCAAATGTCTTGACATTCCTATGCGCCGGCGCAAACGGACGAATATCCCAAGTCCTGACCGTAGAGTCCATAGAATTCGACAGCAGCGTCTGAGAATCCGGGCTCACTCGCAGCGACGTAATAGTATCATTATGCCCCAGCATGGAGTACACCACCGCCTTCTTCCTCGTATCCCACACCTTGATATCATTATCGATGCCGCCGCTATACAGCTCGTTGCCCGCCTCCGACAGCGCTACCGCCGTGATGGGGAAGTCCGTTTCGATGAAGTCGACGGCGGACTTCGTACGCGGGTCCCATATCCCAATACATCCATCATCGCTGCCACTGATGAGGAGCTCCTTACCGCGCCGGCTCACATCCATGCAATTGATAATCCCCTCGTGTCCCACGTGTCTTCGTATCCTCATTCCCGTTTCGAGGTCCCACGAGGCCAGATGCATGTCGGCGGACGCAGAGAACAGCACTCGCGAGTCGCGCGACCAATGCAAGTCGAGGACGGCGCCCTTATGTCCGTTGAGTACGCCGTAGTTTTCGCAGTCTCCGTAGGTCCGCCATAACACTTTGTGTCGTCAGCTAGATGCGCATGGGGTTTTGGGGCTGTATACGTACTAATTGACCGGTCCATGGACCCCGATGCTATGTAATTGCCCTCTGGGTTGAACTTGGCCGCAAACACTTCGCCAGAATGCCCCGTCAGCTCCATCACGGGAGCTTGTAGCCCGCTCGTACGCGGTTGTGCTTGGATGAGCGCGCCATTACCAGCGTTGTTCTTGAATGCGAGCTGTGTCGAGTCCTGGCGATTTGTCCTCTTAACCACGAGTTGGTTGGACCCGAAATCCTCCGCTGGGCGCTTTTCGGCCGACATGTTTTCAGTGCAGGAGATTGAGAAGTCGTGGGAGTTGGGAGGAGTTGGAGGAAGTTGTTGCGTGAGGGTCGTTTGTACTCGAATATTGGCTACCCGCGTGAGGCGCAACAATTTTGAGAACCCACGAAAGTCCCAGATTCGCGCTAGTAACTTTAATGGGATGGGGCTTCAGCCGCGCGAGCGAGGCGGACAGCTACAGTAGTTGCGGACGCTACTGACAACGTCTCAACCTTTGATATAACACTTTGACGTACGCACGAGGTACTTGCACCAACGATGGCGTCCAACAAAGCTGCAAGAGTTGGCGAAGAGTAAGCAATCCGGCAATCCTACAGTTGAACTGAATATACGATGCTAATCCTCGAGTAGGGTGTGGAAGTGAGTCTCCTTGAACTGTGAAAGCAACGGCCCATTACCACCAAGCTTCACATGCGGTGCGATTCCATATACTGATTCAATACAGGAGCCGGATAGATAAAGTCAATGCCGAGCTCGTTACCCTCACATACGGCACAATTGTTGCGCAGCTATGCCGCGACTACGAGGGGGACTACGTCGAAGTGAACAAGCAGCTGGACAAGATGGGCTACAACATCGGACTGCGCCTGATCGAGGACTACCTCGCAAAATCGAACTCGATGCGCAGGTGTTCGAACTTCAAAGAGACAGCCGACATGATCTCAAAGGTGCACCACCACCACCACCACCCCACTCCCCGGACCCCTACACATTGGGGCACCTACTCACACCCCTCCAGGTCGGCTTCAAGATCTTCCTCAACATCACACCGACAGTGACAAACTGGACGACAGACAGCAAACAGTTCTCGCTGATTTTTGAGGAGAACCCGCTGGCGGACTTTGTCGAGCTACCCGACGACGGGCGCGCGCAGGAGGAGCTCTGGTTCTCGAATATCTTCTGCGGGGTACTGAGGGGCGCACTGGAGATGGTACAGATGCAGGTCGAGGCGCATTTTATCAGCGATGTGCTGAAGGGGAATGACACGACGGAGATGCGGATATCGCTAATACGGTACATTGATGATGAGATGCCGGCGGATGATGAGTGAGGAGTGGTTGATGCTTTTTGTGGAGTTTCGGCGCTAGATATAGTTCATGGCATGGCAGGGCTATGGCTAAGGGATGTTTTTGGTAGGTACGCCTTGATAGAGCTCCACCGAATGGAATCGTGTTCTACAATTCTGGGCTATGCTTCCGCCTCTTTGCTGGTGGTTTGGTAGTTGTGATCGTTACGCCTATCTTGCTTCTTTGTAGGTATGAGAAAGACTGTCCGTGAGCTACGCTATTGATTTGCCTAGACTAAATAAATTAACATCTAATCTAAATAGGAGAATACCTTTGTATAGGTCGTGAGCGAAGTAATCATTTAGCAAGGCGGCCTTCGCGTCGGGAGGTGTGTCCTTCCTTCATCTTGGTCTTGCGTAACTCTTCTCGAAATCTTTAACAAAAGTCGTGGGCGAATCTGTCGTTTTATCAGTGTTCGGCACGGATACCAATATACCCGTGGTATCCGGGTATATCCTCGAGTATATACCTACCCGGCGATATTTTAGGAGTATCCGGCGTATCCGGATACTCTCGAGTATATATCCGGATACATGCCAAGAATAGCCAAGCGCAGCCAAGACCTCTTTTTTCCAACGTCGTGAGATCTATATTGATGCTGTATAAAGTGATAATTATCCTCAGAATGAGCGACTCGTCGTTATCAGATATACCAACGGAGCCTGAGGGCTATAATAGCTATGATACTCATAATGAGCCAAGTCTGCCAACGCTGCCGCCCCCTATTCATATTCAACAGGATATTAATCCTACACCGCTCCGGCTTCAGCCTCCAGGACGAATGCTGCCACCAACGTCATCGGTACTATTTACGAAGCTATTATATTCGCGATTGATACTTGATAGTAACCCACCTACAGTCAAAGTAACTTGCTTACAACCAGGCTGCGGATATTCACCTACTCCGCAGCTATTAAGTCAGACTTCAACCGGTAATCTTTGGAAGCACTATACGCAGAAGCATCCAACAGTAGCATATACAATGAAAGGTCATACAATTACGCCGTCAAGCCCATCAAGTAGTGCATCGTCATTTTTTGAGCCACGGCCGCGGAACCCGCAAGTCCAGCCCGCTCAAGCTCAAGCATCAAATAGTAGAGCGAAATACCGAGAGTTATTACTCTCATTCGTTGTATCAAATAACCTCTCCTTACGACTTATTGAGAGCTATTCGTTCCATCAATTAGTACAGTTCTTAAGCCCAAGTACTCTATCGATATCGTCGCGAACACTACACCGAGAGCTACAGCGGCAATTCTCATATCACCGAGGATTGCTACAATTAGAACTCCAGGCTCATATTACCTATGGCGGCCGGATATCTATTACAACAGATGCATGGACTGCACGGAACTATACAGAGTACGCTGCTGTCACAGGCCATTGGATTAATGAGAAGTGGCAGCACCGGTGCGTATTACTTGATGTAATCCACCTTCAAGAGCCAATTCATAGCGGCGAATATCTCGCTCAAGAGTTAGCTGCAGTAACAGATAGCTTCGAAATTACAGGTGCTATATTTACTTGTACGTGGGATAATGCCTCAGCGAATACTGTGATGCTTTCAGAATATGAGAAAATAGCCAGTAAGCAGCAGACGACTATTCAACAGCCATGGACGTTTACTGTAAAGGAAGGGGACGTTCGGTGTATTGCTCATATTATCAATCTTGCAGTTTAAGCTACTCTAAAGAGCTTGAAAGCTAGCCCGGATACAGAAACAGAAGCGTACTGGTGTCAGCAAGGGCTTGCCCGGATTCCGCAGCATATTGATAACTCTTCTACTGAAGTATCAGCTACGCTTGAGAAGCTCCGAAGGCATATTTATCTTTCGAAACTGAAGAGCATGGAAGGATGCTTTACAGAAGCAGATACAAGCTGCAGGCCAGAAGCCACGCCAGCTATCACTTGATATGCCTATACGCTGGAATTCAACGTACTATATGCTTGAAACAGCTATAAAGCTTCGAATACCAATTACTGCAGTATGCTCTACGCAGAAGCTTGATATCAGTATGAAGGATATTGCGTTAACAAGCAACGATTGGGCTATTATCGAAGCTCTTGAACGATTATTCTTAGTATTCTTAAAGCCGTCAAGACGGCTACAAAGCGATTCATATCCAACGCTCAACTTTACAATTCCTCTTTACTTAAAGATGATAAATAAGGTCACATTACTACAAGAAGAGCTTGGTAGAAGCTCTACGATCGGAGTAGCTTGTGGAGCTGCGCTTCAAAAGCTTAATGAGTATTATACTCTTACAACGAATCAGCAATGTAAGCACTCAGCTGTTGCTACAATTTGCGACCCACGAATGAATCATACAGTATTTAAGAAGATATATCCAAATGCTATAGACAATACACGAAGATTACGAGCAAGAGCGCAGTTCGAAGACGTTTGTAGAACGTACCAAAAGCGAGAGTATCACCTTGATACGGAGCGAATTACTCACGAAACAGCTCTTGCAGAAGCAATAGGTGCTACTGCTACAATAGATCAAGAACCTGATTCTGACGAAGATCTATTTGCGTCAGAAGGCTTGGCTTTTCAAGAGCCAGAATGGAGGCGCTGGATGCTTGAACCACGGCCCGGTGAGCATACTGATATTCTCAAATATTGGTGCGCAAAGCAATACCAATATCCAGTTATTGCCCGTATTGCTCGTGATCATCTAGCTATTCCAGCAACATCTGCAGCATCGGAACGAGTATTTAGTAATGGTAGTGATATTATTACAAAGAAGCGGAATAGGTTATCACCGCCAACTATTAGATATTTACTTTGCTTACGGAATTGGGGTAAAATACGGGAGGCTGATAGCGACGGCGATGATGCTGACGATGAAGCACCTGAATAGGGACTCGCAGAAAGGGGGGGTCTCACGGAAAGGGGGCTCGCGGAAAGGGGTTTACTACTATTATCAAAAGCTTCATTCTTTTTTATATACGCTATTCTATTTTTATATACAATATTCAGCCTCATGTATCCGGATATATACCCTACCCTACCCGTCAGATCGTCGCCGGGTATATACCCTACCCGTGAGCTTCACGGATACTACCCGGATATGTATCCGCCGAACACTGCGTTTTATAGCAGTGCCATGGAAGCTATACATTCAAAGAGAGTTTCACAGCTGTCTAAGCCCAAGCCTTCAAAAAGCCTACATGCCGCAACAGCTGATTTTACAGATACCACTCTTGTTAAGCATGCCAATGTTACTTCTGACCAAGTGAAACGTGCCAATGCGCTTGTTAATGCCGCCCACGAGTCCCAGGCTGCATATAATTTATACCAGGTAAATAATACTCGAAGAAACACTAATCTTTCTAAGAAGTCCGCTGCTGCCCTGCAACCTTATACATTCGTAGCCGCTGGGTTCTCTTTGGCGCTCCTCAAGCTAGCCCAACCACCAATATACAGTATAATCTCTTTAAGACGATCGAAACCAAATATTATCGGTCCATCGACTAAATCGTATTATTAGAGCTTATATAATCCATGTTCCAAAGTGCTTTGAGCACGCCTATTCAGGCGTGCTCAAAGCTCTAGACGCTCAATTGCTCTTAAATGAGCTGTATGGAGCTCAGCACTACCTTCAGTAAACTTAATAAGAACCTGCATAGCCTTTCGAGCTTCTTGTATAGAGTAGACAGGCTCTTCAGGCTGCTCTTCTTCATCATCGTCTTGTGTTTGGCAGACACCAAATGTTCTGCTATCAAGTCTTGTAAGACTTGTTCTTGACCTGCTTCGTCCTCTTTTTCTACTTCAACCTCCTCTTCTGGATTCAGGAAGTTTGAAATTGCCATCACATCATGTATATTCCCAGCCCTTGCTACCTGATCATAGAGAGCTGATATGTTTGGTGGATTGAGTGGCGTAGGAAGAGAGATTGGCGAAGTGACAAGAGTTGACTTGCGAAAGCAGTTGTATATAGTTGTATTTGTGAGGAAGTGGTTCCAGCTTCATACAATCCAGCGAATTGCAAGGTGTATATTTATTGACTTAAGAGGGATTTGATTTGCCTCAAAGCATTCTAGCATATAAGACAGCCATTTCCGACAGTAGTTGGCCTTAAATGACTGAATAATTCCTTGATCTAAAGGCTGGAATCGACTTGTTGAATTAGCAGGTAGCCAGCAGATTCGTATATTTGTAGGTGGAGGTGCTAATTCCAATGCTGTATAATGTGCTGAAAAGTTGTCCATTGTTAAGAGGACTTGCCTTGTGCTTCCAATATGTAAATAGAAAGCTTGGAGCCATTCGACCATCACTGTTGTATTCATCCATGCTTTTTGATTCCATCTCCATTGCCCTCTCATAATTGCAACATTGATATTCTTTAGAGCTCGTGCGGTCTTTTCTTTGCCAATAATCCAGACATTAAGTCGGTCATTTCCAGTTGCATTCGCACAGAGTACTAAAGAGACTCGTGCTTTTTCCTTCTTCAATCCTGGCTGTGTACAAGTTGCAAGCCCCCTCGATGGTGTCATCTTCCAAAATAATCCTGTTTCATCCATATTGTATATATCTTCCTCTTGAAACTCCCCTGCCAATGTTCGTAGGGCCTTCATATCCTCTTCTGCTATTGCTGGAACAGATCCTGCCTCGCCGTGTTGTGTGTGCTCTTTGATGTCATGTCTTTTTTTGAATTTCTGCATCCACCCGTTACTGAATTCGGGACAAGTTTGATTTGTAAGGACACAGGGCACCCAGCTCACAGTAATAGCATATGAGAGTGCGAGTCAGATGCTAAACGGATGCTATCCTATAGGTCTACTACGAAGGATACAAAAAAGATGATGAGGAACCCCATTGGGTCAATTTCCTTAAGTACCCGAAACGGGTCCGACTCGGCTAACCTGCCCTAACTCTCCCCACGTGACCGTAACCTGCCCGACTCCAATCCCTTCTGTCACTGAGGGCGGAGGCATCCTTACATGATTGGCATATTGAGGTAGTTGCTGCCAGATCTGCTGGGCTTTCTGTCAAAGAAGCTCTCCACTAGTTACTCCTCCTTTCTCTTCAATGTGGTGCTGCCAAAGGATTAAGATCTTCTCAAGATCTGGCCACTGCCCAAGGCGAAGGCGTGTTCGATTGCTGTCTGTAGTATTATCAACACTGTCAAAGTGTGATGAAAGAGACTCAGAAACACTTGATTGGCTGATCTTATGGTTATACTGCTGTTGGAACCACTCAATACCCGCCTTTTGCAAAGGTCGTGGGTGTTGTTTATGTGCCCAAGCCTGTAAAGCACATCGCTGTTCAAGCCGTATCTGCTGTTTCCGTCCGTGGCATATTTGATAGCTGTAATGATGAAATAGTATACGATAAGAGAATAATTGATGATGTTGTAAAGATATCATGAATAACGTGCATGTATAACGAAAGTGCCAAACAAGCGAAAGTGCCAAAATCATGCGGTGACCAACCCCCCCAACTAAATGTTAAATTCCTCCACAACAAAACATGCGCCATAAAAATGATGAAAGCAAATTAGTGCTAGCTATCCAAGCTATGCAAAGCGACCCAAATTTGCGCCTTCGAGTTGCAGCTAGGATCTATTCCGTAGACCACCGCAAACTACGTCACCATTTACAAGGCGTACCTTCCGACGCGATATCCAAGCCAACTTACAGAAATTAAGTAACCTAGAGGAATCAGTTCTTGTTCAGTATATACTTGACTTAGCTGCTAAAGGGTTCCCCCCTCAGTTGTCTATTGTTGAAGATATGGCAAATCGACTACTTGCAACACGCGACGCGCCACGCG